TTCTCTTCACTACTCTGGTATTCCACAGACCGATCTTCAAGACACCCATTTCGTTGGGTGGTCAGACATTCTCCATTCTTCTATCTTGTTCAATATGTATACTCAAACCAGTTACAAAGTAGATGAATACACCCCAAATCTGCTCCTTTAAAAAACAACAACAACCAACTCACTGCCAATGAGTCAATGTCGACCCGACGCTAATGAAGCTACAGGGGACAGGGTAGAACTGGCCCCGTGGGTCTGGGGGACTGTCGTTTTGCTGGAGCAGAAAGCCTCCTCTTTCTCCCATAGAGCTGCTGGTGGTTTCAAACGGCTGACCTCACAGATCACAGCTACACGCATCACCTTGAAAGGGTTCCTTTAAAGTGATGGATAAGTAGATTGAAAACACAATCGTCAAGCTCGCCTGGCAGTCCCAAGGATCTGTCTTCTCGCATCAACAGTGTTGGGACAGGAAAGACCTTGGGACTCTCTCTTGCCAGCCTCCCATGATCACTCTCCAACTTCCCCTCCTGGTGCAATTGGTTCCATCCTCTTGGCCATCTGGGGCCAGTGCACATTTGGGGTCCTCCCCCCCGACTTATTGTTAGCTCCAAATACTCAATTAGCCATCAACTCTCGGATCCTTCAGTTATTCTTTGGAAGCTGAGGCTGGCATCAGCAGGTCTACCTGCATCGGCAGGCCTCTTCCAGAAACTTCTCTCTGGCTTCTATTTCCATCGTGACGATGTGGCCTTGGCAGGGCATGGGGCACTTCTTCCGAGGGAGCTGGAGAAGGAGGAGCACATGGGCCCGAGCAAAAGCTGTGTGGCTGCTGGGCCCTCTTTCAGGACACGTAGAAGCCACCAGCCCAAGAGGAGCTGGGTAGAACCCTGGCTGGCAAGGAAGCCACCCTGACCCTGGAGAAGACCCTCAACCAGACCCTTCTGGGCCCGCACCCTGTGGGCCCTACCCACACAGACCTCCACCTCCGTGACCTTTTGGAGAACCAAGATGAGGTGAAACTCCTCAAGAAGATGGGTGACCCACTGACGAGCCTCCTACCCCCAGCAGGGCTGGGCCGGGATCTTTTCCAGAGCCTTACCCTTAATGTGACTGGGAACCGTCAGAGCCCAGCCCCTGCAAAGGGCCCTCTGCCTCCCCCTGCCAGCCTCACACCTTCTGCCTCAACCAGCCCCTCTAGCCTCATCCACTACTGCCCCTCGCTCAAGCTGTGCACCAAATGGAAACCCTGAAGCTTTCTTTTGGAGCCTAGG